TTTTCTTCTTGCTCATAGTAGGATCGAAAATCATCTGTTTAAAAGGGACCAAGTGATTGTTTTTAATGATGGTCACATTCCAAATATGCAATATCCTCAAAAGGCAAACTTGTAAAGAGTATCGGATGCATTGAAGTACCAAAAAAGGATAAAAAAAAAAAAGTCCATCCAACCTTCCTTATACTATTAAACATGGTAGGGGGTGGGGGAGTAGGGGTGGCGGGGGAGGTGATCCTTCAACACGTATACCTGCCTTTCAATTTGTAAATTATCACAAGATACAGCAACTTCACTTTTAGTTCAATGAGCAAATGATGAATAAATCATGGAATTTAGGGAAGGGACCTTAGCAACAACTTATGCTACATCATCCCTTACTTTTATGGATGAGAAAACCAATACCTAGGCAGGTTATACTCGTACATGTTTTATTTAAGGTTGGCAACCTGGGGTTGCTACACCAGAAGACTGGACCTAATAATTTTTTTTTTAATCTGGATATTCAGATATTCCTTTAAGGAAATCCATCAGCAACCCTTCATATAGCAAATCTCTATCTGAGTAAGAGAAACTTCTATACAATCTTTTACTCTGCTTTCTGGAACATTAAAAGCTTTCTTAAGTTATTTTTATCTAATGTCCACTAGAGAGAGAATAAGTGAAAAACTAATTTATAAGTTCTTGTAGATTATCTTAGAAAAAGATACAGATAAAGTTATTTTAGACATAATAGTTTAAACAACATATATGTAAAGAGTGAGGTCTTTGAAGTCAAACAGAATTGGATTCAAATCCCAAGTATTTTTCTCTAAGCCTCTTACCAGTCTTGGTCCAAATTCTACCATGTTTAAATCCAGCATTTTACCCAATGATCTGTTGTGACAATGTATTGAAGTGTTTAAGAGAAAAGGTCTGGAGCCCAACTGATGGAATTCAATTACTATCATAATTTATGTAATGCTTTACAATTCACAAAGCATGGTATATCTCAATTCCTATCAGTGAAATTTCATCATCTCAGGGTGACCTAATATCCATTACCTATCATGAAACTCTCAAAACAAATTCCCCAAATTGATTCTAATTAGCTTAAATTTCTTTTATGTCCCAAGTACATTAAGGAAACTGAGATACACTGAAACCAAACTATGGTCTGTAATAAGGCAGGGCAGTTATCATCATCACTCAAAGAAGGAACTGCAAGACACTCTGGAAATTGATACAGCCTCATTTCAAAGTTATCCTCTCCTCTCTTAATAAGGATCTAACTGCATAAATGAATAATTCTAAAAATGCAGTCAGTCTGAAGAACATAATTTGGCAAACTTAAAGAGAAGAGTCAGGAGGAAGGAGTTCCCCACTACTGACCTACTGAGACATACATCACCCCACATGGATCTGTTCCAGGGCATTCCTGCGATACGAAAATTTGGCACTATAAATTTGGTTGTCTGGCAGGGCTTACAATTCATTTATTGCATTTTCCCAAGTATCAAGAGCCCTGGAATATTATCTTTTAACTATTATTAACTATTATTCAGCAAGACAGATCAAAGATGGGAGGGATTCTGAAATCAGAAGGACAACATTGTCTTCAGAAAAAAATCATATTTAGTTCTATAGGGTAAGTTTGGTTGTAGCCATCTAACAGGTATTAAACATGCAGGAGTTATACACTGAAATAGTTAACATCTCTTATTTCCTCTGGATACTTAAGACATATATTCATTGCCTCATTTTATTCACACCACCCATCAAGTTAAAAATAAGGAAACCAGGGATCCCAAAGCAGTGCCCTCTCCCTCACAAGGCCATATCAGTCTTGACCTAAAAAATGTTTTTTTAAGACGTTCACATATGACAACAAATTATCACATTCTAAATGTCTTGTTTATGAAACTAGTTAGTTTGGATTTGAGAAGCAAAAAGTTGCTGACAGGTTTTTATGGATAAACCAGACTCTCTTGAACTATTTTTTTTTAAAAATCTTTAACAAAGCCTTCAAAAGCAGTTTTTCATTTCCAACTTCCCACTGTGGGTTGGGTTGGAGGTGAGAAAAAGGGATACCAGCAAAAATTACCCAGACAATAGTCTGAAGTGCTTCATCATTTTGGAAGCCTACTCCCATCCATCATGCCTTACCCAAGATGATAACTTTATGGACACATCACACCAGGTGGGTTACAAAAGAACCCAGAGAAGCAAGGTGAACGGAACAAATGCCAAGTGTCATCATCTTTGGGTGACATCTCTTTGTATTCTTGTTTTGTAAACTTCGTACGACATATTCTATTTTTAATCAGAAACTTCTTTTTTAGTTTAAAGCTTCTTTTGTAAAACACCTTACTTAGTGTTGTGTGAAAACCCGATATTCTGACACCTTGTGAATGGGGCCTAGTAATAAGCAATAATTTTGACTATTGACATCACTTTAAAAAAATGGTCTGAAAAATAATGAATGCTTGCAGATTAGAAATTTTTTCCTTACTGGGTGGCACCCATATTTCTAGGATAGTGCTTTTGAAAGGTCTTGGTTCCACTAAATTCAAAGAGATTATGTTTTGGTGAGTGTTGGCTTAATTACCAGGTTTAAAAAGAAATGTGTGCAGTTTAATCATTTCCATGTACAGATTTTCACTTGATCCTTACAAGTGTGTAGTCAGGAATTAAGAATTAGCCTAATACTTATCTAGTCAACAATAATGGAGGAACCAGAACCTTCACATAACCTCCAGAGTGGAAGCCAAAGGCAGGGTTCTAGACACACTAACTTCCTTTGTGATATTGAGCAAGTTAACCTCCCTGGGTCCTAATTTCCTGTCTATAAAAAATGAAGTTGGATGGCAGACCTAAAAAGTGCCAAGTTGCTTAATACTTTATTGGCTTTCAAAAGGTCTCTGCTAGAATGCTGGTTCTGCCATCTCTGCTTGACAAAATCCTATTCGCCCTTCAGTAATGCATTCATATTCTACTTCCTTCAAAACCTGATCCCACTACCAAACTGAATCCTCCAGGCCCCCAAATCTCTATGTTGAAGGCTCTATTTCTACCTCCTGTAGTAACTAGTAGATCTCTTAACTCCCTTACAACACTTAAGTATTTTCCCATACAAACCACACAGAATAGCACCCCACAGTACCTTGTACTACAAAGGTACTTTATTTGTTGTTGGTTATGAAAAGCTTAGAAAATAGGTAAACAAAATGTAAAACACTGCCACTCTCAGGAACTTTTAAAATACAGTAGCACAGAGTAATCAATGTCTTTACCATGACCTGCAAGCAAGAACTACCTACTACTTCCTTTAGATCCTCAGCTTTTCTCCTAAAAGAGCAAGAGCCTCCTAGTCACCTAGATGAAGGAAAAATTGCATAGATCTGGAATTCTACTACTGGTCCAGCCACTTACTATTTGATCATAGGCATTATACGACACTCTAAGCCTCAGTTTTCTCATCCCTAAAATCGGTATAACAATACTTATAGAGTTGTTGTGGGAATCCAATGAGAGATTGGAGTCCCTTCCAGAATAAATCCAAATTCCTTAATTTGGTCTTCAAATCTCTCCGTGAACTAGCCACTACCTTCATTTCTAGAGATTAAATTAACTCTAACCTAACTGGAGAATATTCTACTTTCTGTGAGCACAATTACTTGTCTTTTTAACCACTCCCTTGCCCTGTGATCAGATCTTTCCACTACTTGAGAAAATTCTAAGGATCCTTCAGGGACTATGATGGAGAAATCTTCGAATTTCTCCCCCTCCTTCTCTCCAAGGCCCTATAGGCCAAGCACTTGAACGTTTACTTAAGTGAATTATAAATTCAAGAGCTTTTTTTAGGTGGGCAGAGCTGGCCAGTAAGCGGTAGCCCCCACCATGTTAATCAGTACGTACTGGCAATACTTAAAATCAAATTTCATTTTTAGCCGTTTGACTGCACATGAATTGGGGTAAGTATGGCCAAATGGGATTTGAGGAAATTTGCTGAGGTACAAGCACGACAATAGAAAAAGATCCAGCCAGCTTCGCAGCACGGGCTTCCCGCTCCCGTCGCTGTGAGCTGTTAAGGAAAGCTCAGGGACTCCCGCCCTAAAACTTTCCGAGGTTAGACACTTTGAGCCTGAAGAATCTTTTCCTCTCGTCCTATCTCCCTCAGCCCCTAGTCTTTTAAAGAAATAATGCTCGAGATGAGAACAAGAGCGGATACCGGCCAGGACAAGCCAGCCTAAAAGTTTTTAACGAGGGCGCTCCAACGGAGCCGAGGGAGGCTCCTCTCGGCACCCCCGGCGCCAAACGAGGCGAGTTACAAATGCAGTGTCAAATCGAAAGGAATGCATGGGTCGCCAACCCCAATCTCCTTCAGTTGGGGCATTAGCCGGCATTCAAGCCCCCTCCTGAGAGGGCGACTCAACTTGCTCCCCATTCCGGAAACGCTGGTCTCAGTGCCGCCGCCCAGAAAGGAGCCCAGCGCGGCCAACCCCGCGGCTCCACAGTCCTCGCCGGCTCTACCGCTCCAGGTCGCCTAGGCCCGGCTACTCCACATGGCGGCCGGCCGCTAGGCCGCAGGCCCGGTCTCCCACAGTAGGATGAGTTCGGCTCCCCACCTCAGTCCCTAGCCTTATCGCCAAGTTCAGACCCTCACCTCGTCCCCGGACATGGCTGCGGCTCAAGTGGACTCGGCACAGACGGGAAGTTGGACGGGTCAGCCCCAGGCCCCAGCGACAGCACTGCTCTTGCCGACACCTCTCCCACCACCGCACTAGGCTCTTGCATCAGCGAAAGGGAACGACACCCCGCCCTCGACTCCCAAGCGTTGGAATTGCGCCTGCGCAGAGCCCGCCAGTGCGCAGGCGCATGATGGAGCTGACCTAGAGCGCTCCGTCTGGCGCGAGATACGCGGCGACGCCGCGGGGTCAGGCAAGCCGGGACTTGTAGTTCTAGAACAGGCGGGCAATTGCGCGGCGGCCGCCCAGCGACCCGTGCGCATGCGTGGCGTCGGAGGCAGCCTTCCGGGAAGGTTCTGCAGGTGGTGAATTTTACCTCAGAGTTAGGTGGAGTCGAGAGTCTGTGTTGTTCCGCACTGGTTGTGGAGTCAGTTCAGGGCCATTTCTCCTGGGTTAGGGTGGTAGATAAGACACTCAGTAATATGAATCCGTTGGGGCTTTAGTTTTCCTGCTACTACCTCCACCATAACCCCTTGGGATATTCTAGTGTGTAAGGAACTCGGAAGTTGAAGCTAGAGGCGCGCACCTCACTAAGGGGTTTTACTTCATGGGAAATGGAACCTGATATGCTGGATTTAAACTTGGGATGTCGAAGACCAAACGCCTCCTCCCGTAGACCGAGGAAAGAAGACGTCCTCTGAGGAGAACTGATCTGGCAAGAGGCAGTCTGTCGGGAATCCTCTAAACACATATTTACGAAAGTCTGCTTGAACCTCTGGGTGCCTCATGCACTGCCCCTTGAGGCATAATAGGAGCAGCTCCCATCGTCAGGGACTGCTTTTCTCCTCACTGTGCTTTATATCACTTAATATATGTTCTTCGCTTTAGGCCTCAAAACAACTGTGTGAGATCATCCACAGATATTTAGTACTCCCCGTAACAGGTAAAATTAGGTTTTTTTTCTTCAGGGAACTTACAGCTTAGTGAGAATGATACTTTGTTAGCCCCTTTTTCCAGATGAGGAAACTATGCTTTCAGGGCATTGAATAATTAGTCCAAAATCATAACAGCCAGCGAAAAAACGGAACCTGGGGCTCCAACTCCAGACCATTCGATGCCAGTGGCTGCCACTTTGCCGCCTTGAGGATCTGCATCCCTAAGGAGACGGCACTGCTTCCTCAGTAATCTTTAGCTACTGATATCTGTACATACCAAGGTTTCTCAATAGCAGCACAGTTGACATTTTGGGCCAGGTAAGTCTTTGTTGTTGGGAGCTGTGCATTGTAGGATTTTTAGTGGCATTCATGGCCTCTATCCACTAGAGGCTAGTGGCACCCTCCCTCCCCCTTGCTGAGATGACCAAAAATGTCTCCAGACATTACCACATCACCACTGGTTGAGAGTCACTGGCATACCATTTATCTCCCCCTGGGTCTCTGAGAGGTAACAAATATTTGGGGCATTACAGCTCCCAAATCACTGAATGGGGAGACCTTGAAGAGGACAGAGGAAACTGTGGCCTAAATTTTTGAAAAGCCTCTATGACTAGGGAAATGAAGACTCAGAAGACAAATGAAGTGGGGAAAAAACAAAGGGAGACGTGCTAGAGGAGAGGAGCTCCTAGGAAACCACCCTTAAATTACTCGGTGTATACTAACAAAGTTAATTCACCCTGACAGAGACACAAAGTCTGGATGAGGCCTCATTGGACTGCAACTCCCCGTTTGGGAAATGCTGGTATACTTAGCAAATAGTCTGGACCACTTTGGTGAAAAGATTTATTTTCCTTTGCAACATGGTACCAGGCGTGACCTCCCTGAACTGGCTACTTGCAAGAGACTTCAGAGATGTCAGGCTTCCCTCAAGGTGCTAATTTGTTTTCCAGGAAAAGCCAAAATTCCCTGCGGAGTTGGCAAAAGTCACAAAACAAGGGTAGCAAAGCTTTTCTAGGTTTTCCAAGACATAGATCCTACTTAGACTAAGCTAATAAGAGCATCAGCACAAATCATCATTTGTATTTTCTTAACCTCTTTTATCTAGGGATCTCTGCAAAACATATAGACATTTATTAACTTCTCATAATGGTGACGGAAATCATTGTGATTTTTCTGTTTTATAGATACAGAAGCCAAGTTATGGAGCCCACAAAAAATAGTGAGAAATCCAGAAACAGACTATGGGAATCTTCACTCAGCCATTCTTGATGCTCAGCATCACCCCAGATCTCCAGCTGCCTAATAGTAAGCTAATGATGATAATCCTTCAATTGTATACTAAATTTTATGTTTTTGTAAGCTTTAAAATATTCCAGTGTCTTCACTTGACCCATAAAATAGCAGGCCTATAGAAGCTGTGACTTCAACAAAATTAAATAGTGATAGTACTTGAATTAGAACCCAGAGCTTATGATTCTTAGTCTAGTACTTTTTGTACTCAGCCCACAGTTTCCTTAAAAAAAAAAAAACCTAATCATGCTGCTCCCCTGCCTAAAAAATCAGTGAATTGTCTGTTACCTTTAGAATAAAACTATCCACAGTCTACCTCTGCAGCTCTCCTCATCACTCTACTTTCTACCCTTCTTACTGCTCCCCATCATGTATTATGAGTTCCACCTACACTAAATCACTTAATATTATCTTGATATCTCTTGAACATGCTGTTCCCCTGGCTGGGATATTGGTCCCTTCTCTTTTCATCTGATGAACTCCTGCCATCCTTTAAAATCCAGCTTAGATGTTACTTTTTAAAAGAAGCCTATGATTTCCTTAGGGGGAAAGAAAGCTATTCCTTTGTACTTGTCTTCTCTCATTACTCAATTACAGCCCTTGTCATCTCATACTGTAGCTATCTTTCAGATCCTGCAGGGCAGGATCTGTGTCTTACTAATCTTCCTTTGTTCCCCCAATGCCTAGCACATGTTTATGAATACAGGAGCCCACATGGGTGATAGGTATGAGGGCTAATAACTAACTTGCAACAGTCTTAGCTTCTTGAACATAGCCTCCTTCGCAAGGGAAAATGGGAAATTCCTAGCTATATTCCATTTGAAATAATTGGGTGTGAATATAGTATGCTTTACATACTCCCTTTATGATTCACTGTAAAAGGAGGTGATAGCAGTCTTCTTGATAGATTAGCAGGTTCTAAGAAAGGAGTGATTCAACACACTATGTCATTGTGTGTTGAATATGTACACCCTTAGGACCTTGGATTGTCGCTACTCATTGCCCATCTTTCTCCCTTGCTCTTGAGGGTCAACACCTACCAGCACAGTGTGTAGCACTTATTAGGAGCACAATAGATGTTTGTTGAAAGAATGCATGAATTAATAATTGAAAATTTAAAATTTCCTTTTTTTGGATGATTTAAACCCTCCGTTTTAAAATGTTTGAGATGCCATTTGCTCTTTAAAGCCTCTTCTCATCAGCCTAGCCTACTATAATTTTACCCTTCTCTGTCTTCACATAATACTTGTCATTTAGACTGTGTTATCTTGAATTATTTATTTTTAAATGCATATATCCTTTCTTTCCAGCTAGATTATAAAATCCTTGAGGGCAGGGACTGTGTGTACTGTTGCCTCCTACAGTGTCTTAAATTTAGTAGGATCTTAATGCTGGTGGTGTTATCAGGGTTACTTAGTATTTTGGCATCTCTACAGAAGACTTCAAAACTCTTAAGAGCACTACAGTGCGAAACCACCTCACATCCATTTGGATGGCTATTAGGAAAAAAAAAAGAAATGACACGTTAGCAAGGATATGGTGGGAATGTAAAATGGTGCAGCCACTGTGTATGGCTGTTCCTCAAACAGTATGGTGGTTCCTCAAAAAATTAAAAATAGAATTACCGTATGATTTAGCAATACCTATTCTGGGTATACATCCAAAAGAATTGAAAGTAGGGTCTTGAAGAGATATTTGTATACCCTTGTTCATAGCAGCATTATTCACAATAGCCAAGAGGTAGAAGCAACTCATGTCTATTCATAGATGAATATTTTTATGTTATGTGTATTTAACCACAATTAAAAAAAAAAAAGAGCACTGAATAGAGAGTCAAAAGACCAAGGTTGGAGTTCTTGGTTGTTCCCTGATGACTAATGAATCTTGAGCAAATTGCTGTTTTACTCATGCCTTGATTTCTTTGTCTTTAAACAGGATACTAAAACCTGCCCAGCTTCTGGGTTTGTATGATGATCAAATAGAAAAAAATAACAATAACGAATTACTCTTAGGATAATATTGTGAGTATAGTTTTTCCAGTGTTCCAGTGTCCCTGGTCTCTTTTAATATGTATTACAAGTTTCGCGTCTTATTTCATAACAAAATGCTCCTAAAGGTGCCTCAGCAATAACCTGTTACCACTTCAAAGGATATGTATGCTGAACTCTTTCAACTTGGGCTGCTCACCTTATAATTTGGTCCTGGGGAGAACAGCAAATAAATAGCCTTTATGAGGACTATTGATGACCTAAGATGCTAATTACTAACGTGGTTTAGTATTAATTGAGGAAATACAAACTCAGGATTTTCATGTGAGCATAAGTGAAGCCAGTCCAAAATTAGGGGGATAAGAGGAAGAATTAACATCTGCTTGGTACCTACTAAGTGTCAATCAAGCCCTATAGTAGATGTGTCATGCATTATCTCATTTAATCCTCACAACAGCCTTGTCAGGTTAATAATATTATACTCATTTTATAAATGGGAAAATGAAGCTCAGAGAGGTTAAGTCACTTACCCAAGATCACACAGTGAATGACAGAGATGGAATTTGAGTCCAGGTCTGTGTGACTTGGATGCTCATACTCTTTCTACTGTTATACTGCCTCTCAAAACATATTTGACTTTGCCTTTTGGTTATAGAGTTAATGATAAATGGTATATATTTGATGTATATTTACATTTATATAAATTATCTTACTTGGTCATTACAAGTAAGATAGGCTGTGTAGGGATGGTTATCACTGCTTTACAGATCACAAAACAGCTAGAAAATTTAGCTTACCTAACATCCACCAACCAATAAATGATAATAACAGGACTTGAAAGTAGGTACTGCAATTCTCAGACCCATGCTTTTTCCACGTCAGCCTCATGAGAGCAGAATTTTATTTCTGAATTTTCTGGTTCTGACATTTTTTATGGAAGCAAAAGAGTGAACAACTTGACAGTCTTGCAATTCTTATTATACATGGACAGATTAAACACATGTTCATCCCTATTCTCTCTTATTCCCAAATCACTAAAATGACAGTGAGTTAATGTTTTTAAAACTCACAGGACAAGGGGAATAAGAAAGACAATAGCGATTGAGGAATATCAATAAATTTTTGGAAGATGGAAAGTTGAGCTGAGAAGACGGAATTCCAAATGCTTGAGAGAGGTATACTAACAAGAGGCAAGCAGATTCATATTGCAGAACACTAACTACAATAGAACATCAGGAATTAGAAGGAGCAAATACTACAGCAGCAAAGATATGTGAGGCTGAAAATCTGTATAAGTTAAACTACCAGTTCCCTTCCTTATCCTGCTCAATTAGGCAACTATCCCTCCATCTCTTTGGCAGAACCCTGGGAGTTTATTTTGTGAAAAATTGAACCAAAGAGGCTTTAAAGTGAGATACCAAACACAGTTAAAGATTATAGTTGGGGAGGCGGGGGTAAGAAGATATCACACTGAAAACAGAGATCAGATGAATGTCTTCATACTAAATGATGAATCTTGCCTAGCCTTCTTGCTCTGTTTTACTTCAAGAATGTTGGACACATTCTCCAGGCAGGATGGCAGAGAACTAATTTTGAGAGGAACTTAAAATTTAATAACCCCAGAAAAAAAGATCTATAGAACTGACACTTGAGGATATCCCAGCAAAACAAATAGGCCCCCACTTTATCATCCTGCAGTGAAATCCACCAACTGACAAACGCTTCTTGTTAACACAGAGGTTCCAAAAACCTTTATAGTGAGTCTCTTAAATATGAAGGGACAGCAAAGGACCACCAGATAGTTGAGAGAAACCTTCACCCAGAAAAATGGCATCACATAGAAATGAAAAAGAAAAAAGAAACTGAGAGGAAGCAGAGACAATATAGACAGCAGAAGAATGTCTTTTAAAAAACAATAAACATCCTCTGAGAGATAGTATAAAATAGTGCATCCATGAAGCAAAGACAAGATGCTCCAAAAAAAGGAACAATCAGAGAATAGCTCTGGGAAATTAAAACTATAATAGCAAAAATAAATAATTCATAGAAACATTAACATAAAATTGAGGCTATCTCCCAGAAAATAGAATAAAAAGTAATGGAAAATGTGAGAGAAGAGATAATTAGAGGATGAATCCATAAGATCCAACATTAGGCTAATAGGAGTTCTAGAACTAGAAGAAATTCAGAGAAGGAAATAAAAAAACTACAAGACCTCTGATAACTGAAGGACATGAGTTTCCAGAGTGATAGAGCCTCCTGAGTGCCCAGCATAATGGAAACCATAAACAACAACAAAAAAACCATAGAGAAGAAAACAAAAACAAAAACACTGGCATATCATCGTGCATTTTCTAAACACAAGGGATAAAGAGAAAAAGTTGATGATAGGAGGTGAGGAAGTATCAGGGAAAGTGAAATGGATTACTTATAAAAGAGTGGGTAATAAGAGTAGCATAATTTTCAACATTAACACTAGTGGCTAGAAAATAATAAAACAGTGCTTTCAAAATTCTGAGAGAAAATTATTTTCAACCAAGAATTCTATACTAAATCATGTTATCAATCAAGTGAGAGGGTCAATTAAAGACATTTTCAGGTATGAAATGATAAAAAAATTTACTACCCTTCCCCCGCCCCCAGCTGGGACACTACTGGAGGATGTGCTCTACTCAAACAAGAAAGACAAAGATAGTGGTTTTAGGAAATGGTATCAATGTAGGAAAGAGGTAAAAGGAAGTCCCAAAATGACAGCTATACCACAGACCTAGGGAGAGACAGTCCAGACTAAAGGAAGGAATGCTCCAGGGAAGTATTTCCAGTGAAACTGATAGAATGTCTGACATGTTTGACAGTATTGTAAATAGGCATTTTTGCATTTCTGTTGGAGATTCTAGAAGAATTAGTGATAATGTGGCCAGCCGAGTGGCACATTGGTTAGGAGTTGGCTTGGAATGCCAGCTCTGAGCATCAGGGCCCCAGTTTGGATCCCACATGAGGGCCAGTGACGCTGCACCCTCTATAGCT